AACGAGGATATTCACAAGGTAAGTATAGACCTTATTCGATAAACGTCACAATCACGTGATCCGGGGTCCCGGGAACCAGGGAGTGGCAAGAGATCTGCGCTCAGTGCACAGTTGTCTCTGTGTGCGAACATAGGAGTAGATAAAAACGGGTATTTTACTACTCTTTTGTACGAACTGGGCCTTTCTTGCCACTTGTTTCTCGTACGCGTGCCCTAGCTTATGACAAATCCCCGGAGGCGAGTCCAAAAATCACGTTTATCGAATAAGGTCTATAGTGAGGTTTTGCATTCCGAAATTCGGCAAAAAGATTCGGCACGCGGGAGCGAGGTCGAAAATGCACACGAAGATTCGGCATGTTTGTTCGGAAAAAGCTCACTTTGCCGAAAATATTCTTCGGATGAATTTTCTTGTAGAAGAGCGCTAGCGCGTGATTTATTCAAAGAGGTTTCTTATCTCGGCATCGCTTCGCAGGCGTCTTGGGCGCATCAGCATCGCCAGCTACTTCTAATTGCTCCTCTCCACTGCCTGACATGCCTGTCTACTCTCTATCGCCTGGAGTGTCCTCACCGTCATCTGTGTGGCTGAAAAGACTATGGCGATACGCATAAAATTTGACTTGGCCATGGTCATCATGATGGAGTTGGTTTTTCTGAGGCGACTGAGGAGGCAGGTTTGGCCCTCGAGTCTTTGGGCGATCAAAGCTCGTTGGAATCAGCAATAAAGGGAGCACGGGACAGGACGTTGCTGATGCTGGGGCTCACGAAATGAAACCACATCATTTTCGACTTGCAAAACAAACGTTGGTGCGAAAATTCGACATTTTGATGTTCGACAAATGACCGAAGAACGCTGAACCGAAATTCGGAATGCAAAACCTCACTTATATCAATGGCAGAAAGAGCTAGGTTTAAAGGGGAAGTTAAGGCAAAAATTAAAATTTCACCAGTTGTAGTCTTCGGGGTGCTGAGTCGAATGGTCTTGGTCCGAGAAAGCTGAGACGCTCCCTTCCTACTTGAATCCCAATCGAACTCGCGCACTTCCACCGAAACTGGGTGACTGCGCCCTACGAGATGGGGATTTGTATGCAAAATGTCACTAAAAGCGCCATTTCGTTCTTATAAAAGCACGGATGACCGCGATTGGCCCTTATGTTGTACTCCTTTGGACGCTGAGTCGACTGGTTTTGGTCCGAAAAGGCTGCGATGCAGCGTTCCTCCTTTATTCCCAATCGAACATGGTTGAAGAAGCGGTCACGTGCTCCTGGGTGCCAAAATCACCTGGTCACCACGCCAGCAGGCGACAACTTTCACACCAAGGTTCAACTCGAGTGACAGGACTGCACCCAAAAAAGGTCAAAACAGGCTGTAAGTTGTACCCTGCAGGCACGGTGACCAGGTGACTGGTGTACGCAGGAGCACGTGACCGCTTGTTCAACCATGTTCGATTGGGAATTAGGGGCGAACGCTGCATCGCAGCCTTTTCGGACCAAAACCAGTCGACTCAGCGTCCAAAAGACTACAACATATGGGCCAATCGCGGTCATCCGTGCTTTTATAAGAACCAAATGGCGCTTTTAGTGACATTTTGCATACAAATCCCCATCTAGTAGGGCGCAGTCACCCAGTTTCGGTGGAAGTGCGCGAGTTCGATTGGGATTCAAGTAGGAGGGGAGCGTCTCAGCTTCCTCGGACCACGACCATTCGACTCAGCACCCCGAAGACTACAACTGGTGAAATTTTAATTTTTGCCTTAACTTCCCCTTTAAGGAGGCTCCGAACAGTTGCGCAGCGCAGTGTAAAAAGTGCACCTCGAAAATCTGTTTTTTGCCGCGAGATTCGAAAAATGTTGTGTTCCATGCGGAAACAAGCTGTTGTTTAGAAAGAAGTTTTTTTGATTTCTCTGTGCTCGCAGTTGTTCCAGGATGTAGTTCTACTCGTTGAAGTGTTTCTGTAGCCGTGGCTGTTTCTACGCTGGAAATAATCACTGGCCATGGCTAATGCTAAACAAAGGCAGTTCCTACGCTGCTTGATTTGTTTGTGAAAACCTTGTTGAAGCGGTCCGATGTGGCCACGAAGAACAAAATTTAATAATTATAATACTGCCGAAGAAGGGTGAGAAAAGCAGGCTGAAGTCAGTGAAGACATCGATGTCGAACGTAGTGATACTAGTACTGGCACCGGAATTTAGCATGGACTACCTGTGGAGCGTGAAGTGGCTGCCCACTCGCTGGTAAGTGGACCCACTTGCAGCTCCAGTCGCACGAGTGCCGTTTGAAACTTTCTGTGGATCCTAGAGTATCCTGAGCTCAGTGGACGACGCATCTCAGAGCTGCTGAACTTGGGCTACTGTCCCTGTAGGAATGAGGTTCGTGTCAACCACTGTACCGCACTGATGGTGTAAGGAAAACGCTGGCCAGAAGCTTGTGTTCTGAACCAGGGACGAACTTCTAAATCCTGCTTTTGTAAAAATGGGGATGCCACAACCAAGATGTGCACACCCAGGTGTGTATTGGGTAAATGCCTGTGGTTGATTATTTCGAATCCTTTCCTATGCGCAAGTACATGCGTTTGTGTATGGGTGTGTGTGTACGCGCGCATGTGTGTGTGTGTGTGTGTACTCGCGCGCGAGTGTGTGTGTGTCCGCGCGCGCGCGTGTCTGTGTGTGTACCTGCGCATGCGCATGCGCGCGTGTGTGTGTACGCGCGCATGCGCGCGCGTGTGTGTGTGTGTGTGCAAGCTGTTGAAAGGTGTAATCCGAGCACAAGTTGCTATGTCTAACGTAGTTTGTTCGCTATCCTCGCTTCAGCGTTGGCCAGGTGTATGAGTGTGTGTGTACGCAAGTGTGTGTGTGTGCGCGTGCTCGTGCTCGCATGTGTGGGTTCGCACGCAATGTTGATCTAAGTAATGCACATGTCCCCACGAGTGCACTGTGTGCATGTGCATGCAAATGTCTGTGTACATGTATGTGTGTATGCACGTGCATGTGTGCGCGCGTGTGCAAGGCTAGGTGTGGAAGGGGGGGGGGCTCACCGTGCTGGTTCTGTATGCCTCTCCTCTCTGGTGTCTGCAAGGACAGTGTGGTAATGGCTTTACAGTACAGGAGTTCCATGTGAATGCGCATTTGTGAACCGTATTAGAGAGACAAAAAGAATTGCCGATAGAGCATGACAGTACACTACATGTATATCGTATATGTGTACGCCAGCGTGTGTAGATGCATATTGCCCTTCATGCGATGTTTTTCTGGAGTCTGCTGCTATCAACGCAAGTGACAACCAGCAAATGCATGCCCGGTGCAGTGGCTGGTCTTCATGCTTTTATTTACACTAAGTCCTACTATGGACTAGTAGTGTTACAATGATGCGTGCATGAGAGTGCGTGCATGTGGGTGGGTGTTTATGTGCGTGCGCACGCGTGTGAGTGTTTAGTGTGCCTTATTTTGAATGCCTGCTTTCACATTATTCATGTGCCAGTTTCATGGTCGAGGTTGTTATGAAACCTCGCTGCCTTACATGTACATGTACACTACTCGTATATCAATGTGCTAGGACTGAAGGCTACATGACATACATGTACATGTACATGTAATGATACATGTACATGTACCTTTCGAAGCACAGACTGTCTGGTAACGTATGTCCAAAGGAGGTTGCAGCATGAAAATAACTTCTTCTAAAATAATATTACCATACTACCATGTCATTGGTAGTGATATTTAGTCAAGAAGGCAAGAATGGTCAGATTTTCTAAAAAACTATTTTCAGAATTGGCCTAAAAATACCATACTTTGATACCTATATTGTTTGGTAGGGGCCTAAAGTGCCTGGTGACACCATCAAAACTGTCCATAATCGGTTTCCTTGGGGCTCAAGGATCACAGAAAGCCACAAAAATCAATATGTCCATGGACAAAATGTTGCAGGCTGAACCATTTCACAATTCAGCACCCGATGGAGATTTCGGTACCCGTAATTTCGAAAAAGTGGCGCGCCAAGGGCAAACCCAAGACGCAGTCTATCTTGTGTAGCCAAGATACCTCCAAATGTGGTTCTTTAACATATGATGAAGAAAATGCTTAGTATCCTCCTTCCAGGAGGCTTCTTTGGGTCAAAAACCAAATTTTTTTACCATATTTTTACCGAAAATCAAGAAATTGTACACTCACTAAATACACCAGAATACCTCTTATATGCCTGGTGACCCTACCTAAAAAGTAAAAACTATACCAAATTGAAGAAGAGACATCACTCCACCATTCTATGCATAAAAAACAGGGTGTCCATGGACCTTTTATTTTTACTTCTTTAGGTGGGAGCCTCCTTAAAGGGAAACTGAACGCCAATAATAAGTATGGCTTATCCGAAGGAGAATTGGGCACTGATTCCGATGAGCTATGTCTCGAGCCGATCAGAGAAGAGGAACTGTGTCAAATTTCATAAATAACACCTCCCATATTTGGAAATTGGCCTTGATGACGTGCGTGCTGCTTAGCTGTCACCATGCTGTGCATGTTCAGCAGTGTAATTGAATGGAAGAAAACAATTACTTCAAGTGGTGTTTTGCAGCTCTGTTTCGTTCCCTGACGGTAACGAAATCTAGATGTAGGAATCTGTTGAGCAGGAGAGTGACACATGTCTTCCCGAAGGCTGTCCAGGCTGCAGTGGTGATGAAGAAGACACGATCATCACCCCGAGATCGATCGTAGAGAATTGGAAAACTCATGGTGAATTTGCTTCCACTCCAAGGCAATGTCGAAGTATGAAGGGTGCTTGTACTGCCTTCCAAAGTGAAGAGGAGATGAACATGGCTTTGCATAGCTGTTGTTCTATGCCAACTTACCTACTCTTGCTGGTACCGTAGTGGCATAATGCAAATTTCGTGGACGAACAACTCTAATCACTAGTGGCTAGTGAGCAACACTAACAGGTGAGATTTTTCAATTCGACAAAAAATTGTTTTTGTTTGAGAACTGACAGTGGCAGTCATTAGACTCAGTAGGTGTCTCTCTGCTGCTTCTTTCCCTTCATCGGTAGGGTTGTGCTTGAAGTAAAAATAAATAGAAAATGTGGAACAAAAATCTGATCATGTAATTCGAATTTGAACTTCAAAGTATGTGTACATCAAATCACAAAAATGACTGTCAAGGTGGTGCTGTGCATTGAAAAAGACTGGGAGCTGGCAGCAATGGAAAGGGTAGAAACGAAACCAGTAATGCAGAGTATTCATAAGGTAGAGGGAGATGAAAACGGGAGAGGAGTAGTGAGCACTTCAGTTTGAAGTAGTGTCAATAGACAGCATCGTGTTGCATACGTTTTGAATATTGTGTGAATCTAATAATTGTCACAAAATTGATATCCAAAATTATTATCCCCTGAGTAGTATTATGGTGTTCTCCTGTGTTTACATGCAGAGCCTTGACGTTGCTGGACGAGCGACAATATAAATTACATAAACATGTAGCTCGTGATGTGAGATGACTGCCGTATCCCATTGCCAACGCAAACCCATCCTGTGTCAGTGCAGCTATCCAGCAACTTGAACTCCCCGGACCAGATGCCGCTGCAGCTGAACACCATGCCGATGGAAAGCCAGGAGTTGATAGCGAAGCATTCTGGTCTGCACCGTACAAGGCAAAGAACAATTATGAATTATAATGCATTGTAATCTTTCCCACCCTTGTTTGTAAAAACAAACAAACAGTGCCATTATCACAACACTTGATCAAGCATCTTGATGGAGGTATTTTCCATTGTGCTGGCTCAGCATCTGCACCAGGAAGATCATGTACACTTACACGTACATGTATCTTGTGTGTGTGTGTTCGTGCGTGTGTGTTTGTGTATCTGTATGTGCACACGTGTGTGTGTGGGGGGGGGGGCACGCACATGTGTATGGGTGGAGTGTGTGTGTGTGGGGGGGGGGGGTACACGCACATGTGTATGGATGTGCGCGCTGTATGCGTGTGTCTGTGGGATGGGGTGCACGCACATGTGCAGGGCCTGCTCTAGACATTCAACACAGCCCAGTCAAAGTGCACCTGGCGTATGCAGGCCAGCCGGGTCAAGCCGGGTCAGATCATCCGGCAGAAAAACAACCAAAAAGCCTGCTCAAAACTTGCAACTGTGTCAAAAGCTATAGCCAAAGTTTCGCTTTTGACTGCCTGCCCCATCGACTTTGAATGTCCTGACTTCCTGCTCGCCACTGGCCAGATTGCGCTCAAACCAGTTGACCATGGTTGACCCCAGTTGACCCTACTCCCTAGCCGAGTTTCTGTCGCTTGTAAACTGTAGTGTGTAGATCGTCTACGGTTGCGCTAGATAATATTGCAACAGATGGGGTCCGAGAGTCGTAAAATACCGGTATTTTAGGAATCCATTGTCAGTTTGAGACATTTTTCAGCCGGGTCAGACTGGACCCGGTGTTATCTGTTCAGCCAGGTCGTGCAGTTCCCCAGCCGGGCGCGTGACCCGGCTGACCCGCCTCTCCAGCAGGCCCTGATGTGTACATGTGTGTGCGCAATACAGCATGTGTGTATGTGTTCGTTGAACGCAGGGTGTACTCCTGATTACATAAACTTCGTGATCATTGTGATGTCATGTGCTTTGAAGTTGAACTTCGCAATACATGTACTGATGCTTGATTAGATTTATGTTCCACATGTTCTATTTATTTTATTTTACTTCAAGCACAACCCTACCAATGAAGGGGAAGAAGCAGCAAAGACACCTACTGAGTCTAATGACTGCCACTGTCAGTTCTCAAACAAAAACAATTTTTTGTCGAATTGAAAAATCTCACCTGTTAGTGTTGCTCACTAGCCACTCGTGACTAAAGTCGTTCGTCCACGAAATTTGCAATATGCCACTACGGTACCAGCAAGAGTAGGTAAGTTGGCATACAACAACAGCTATGCAAAGCCATGTTTATCTCCTCTTCACTTTGGAAGGCAGTACAAGCACCCTTCATACCTCGACATTGCCTTGGAGTGGAAGCAAATTCACCATGAGTTTTCCAATTCTCTACGATCGATCTCGGGGTGATGATCGTGTCTTCTTCATCACCACTGCAGCCTGGACAGCCTTCGGGAAGACATGTGTCACTCTCCTGCTCAACAGATTCCTACATCTAGATTTGGTTACCGTCAGGGAACGAAACAGAGCTGCAAAACACCACTTGAAGTAATTGTTTTCTTCCATTCAATTACACTGCTGAACATGCACAGCATGGTGACAGCTAAGCAGTACGCACGTCATCAAGGCCAATTTCCAAATATGGGAGGTGTTATTTATGAAATTTGACACAGTTCCTCTTCTCTGATCGGCTCGAGACATAGCTCATCGGAATCAGTGCCCAATTCTCCTTCGGATAAGCCATACTTATTTTTGGCGTTCAGTTTCCCTTTAACTTTAGGTGGATCAGTTCACATTTGGGGGGGGGGGGACAACGCACCAGTTCCAATTTTCTTACTTATACGACGGGGCAGCGCCAGTAAAGGTTTTTCAGACACGCTGGCAGAGAAGTTTTTATATGGATATTTCTATCACATGCAGGGTGGGACAGAATGTGCAAGTTAGACAATTGCGCGCCCGCAAGGCCTCAATCGTAGTCCTCCATACTGCGCCGTAGCTCTGGGGTATGGTTATGGATGCTTTCTTGTCTACGGTCTATGACTATGGTTGGTTGGGCATGGGGCACAACCTGAACACAGTTTACCCTGCTTAGCCTAATATGGTGCAGAGCTATTCCAATTTCAAATTTGGACTTCACGGAGAATTTCAAAGTGTTAGGAAATAGATGACTTGCACAAAGATCCGAGCCGCGAGTGAGACGGGGCAAGTGCACCCTGTGCACCCAGGCTACACTGCGGGCACCCTCCACCGTCTGTTAGACTGTAGTGTACTTTTTTTGTCAGCATGAATGAACGGTGCACGGCATGTACATGATGTACATGTACTTGATCTGTACCGTCACTGTCTTCAGCAGCTCATGAGTCATGTGCACTTGTACTTTAAGTTGTAGGGTTAGTGGAAGTACATGACTGTATATTATGTGAAGAGAAGCCAGGCGTTCAAACCAACCCAAAATACTCTTGAGTCTTCGGTGAAATAGTTATTAAAAAATTTGTCCTACTAAACAACAGTGAGCATAGAAGCAACCTCGATGCACCCAATAATATGGCATCCGGGAACAGCAAGTGTTGCACGAGGATCCCAAGAACACGTCAAGTTCCATGCTACCCGCCGCCATCAAAAGAACGAAGGATAACTGTGCTAGCCTAGTTCATATTCAATCTAACGCTATCGGTACGGGATATAGGAGCCTGTTGGGAAGGCGTGGGTGAGCTGTTAAAATCTTGTACGGTTCCCACAGCACAACATACATGCAGCAGTTATTGCGACGGTTAATGTCGATGGACGAGAGTCATACAGCACAGCCCATGGGGGTTGATGTTTCTGGGCTTCCTTTCCGAAAGGAAATTTTTATTTCTTCTCTAATAAAGCAGAATCATGCTGATTATACCAGTCTGTTATGAAGACAAGAAAGCAGCCATGGACATTGTGCCACACTAAAGGAACGACAGGTAAAAGATAAAGCACTTCATCTGAAAACTCAAGGACTATCCATAAATACAGCAAATGATAATCCTAGCCTGGTAATGTCCAACTCTGTCATGTGAGCCATTCGGTGGGAAGCATAATGTTCGAAATGCTGAAATTTGAACAGTTGCAGTTGTGTTCGTCGCCACACAATGCCATCGCCAGTTCACACTCGAAATGTAGGCACAATCTGCTGGTACTTTTGCTCAACTCACAAAGATTCACCTAGGGTTCCCTGTAACAAGGCCATGCCTTATGGGACTCCCCTAGTCAAATAATAAATACTACTACTACTACTATGTAGCCATTTTTACGCTTAAGTCCCTGTACACGGCATGGAAGGTTGAACAGATTCAACTCTTCCATCGCTTCCTGATCTGTACAGTAGTGCGGTTGCGTTCCCGTTCCTGACACTCACATCCGTCTCCGCTAACCAGCATCATGAGCACTCCAATGGTTCCCGCCGCTCCTTCCGTATCGTCCCAGCGCGCCCCGTCAAGACGTGAATTGCTGTAGGCAACGGAGCCAGTGTATGATGAAGGCAAATGCACTGTTTGATGATGCTCCAACAAATCCTTTCACCGTTGTACAGAATTTGTAAGAAGAGTAGTGGCTCAACTGTAGGTCCAACGCAGAAGGTACCTCACAGCGCAGTTATGTTACGTCCACAATACTGAACATACTCAGCAGACTGTGATGTGTATCAGACACACTCTGGCATTATTTGTTCCACATTCTCCCAGGAGGAGATGAAATGTAGTTCAATCATGTCTTTAGTACATGGGGTACCGTTGCCTCGTTGCAACTAAACAGGTATGCAAGTTACTTTCCCATGAGACCCAGCCGGAGCCGCATCGTCGTCATTACCAGCTAATCATGAAGAGGTATAATGTGACTTTCCACCACTCCCTGATTCAATCATAGTTTGCGAGCCTGCGCCAAACTGCTTTCTCACTAGAGCCAGGCATCGGATACATATAGCTTCAGTAAGGTTTACAATGCTATGTCTCTGGCCTAGATCCAAGTCTAGATACAGCTGCTCATAGTAAGGGCTGATGAAATGTTCATATCGGAACAAGTGAGATTTCAACAGTAGCTAGTACACATCAGGCCTGAGCACTTCGCAGCGTTTCTCCAGCACACTTGTTCTCTCCTTCAACTCAGATACTACTTGAAGTACTACTAAAGGCCATCTGGCTCTCATACTCAGTCCTTCCACCCTTCATTTTCATGGTTTAGGCTTCCACTCGTCACTCGGCAGTTTCCTGGCCTCTCCGCAGTCTGTCCTCAGGAGAGGGTCGCTCTGGAGCTAGTGCAGCCGATTGAAAGGGAATCGAATTCTTTCTCAGACGTCCACAAACTTTCGTTGTGCTTCACTTTGCTTCCACTGCGGGAAAGTAGTCACACTTCAGGACCACGACGTGCTTGTTGCAGCCTACAGCAATGATACTAAAATAATAACGTTATTCCCTCATTTTTCTGCCTCCCGCCCGGCCGGCTCGGAAAGGAACGTATGGAATGGGAGCCTCAGTTCCATTTCTCGTCTGCTAGTTCATTCAGGAGCGCAGCAGCGCTTCGGCATGACGATACAAGTCGAATCAAAACAACTCTACTCTCTACCCAAAAAAACTAGCTCAGTGTTCGTCAGGCAAAAAGCGAAACTTCGAAAGTCACGAACTCAAAAGGTGGGGAAGTGCAGAGTCAGAAGGTCCACTTGCCCCGTCTCGAACCCAGACAATCTTTGTGCAAGTCATCTATTGGAGGCCACATGCGCACATACTGCTCTTTTCTCTCCGAAACCTCCAATTTCCTAACACTTTGAAATTCTCCGTGAAGTTCAAATTTTAAATTGCAATTTGTATTTGCTCGCAGTGTACATAGTTTGATGCGCTCCCCACGGTATCAAGCGAATGGCCGAGAGCCCTCTTGATTGGTGTGAGTTGCCAGTTTGATGCAAGCCAGATATTGATTGATCGAAGAAGGGTAGATTTACCATCACTGTGGATAAGCGTCATACTGTAGCTCAGTTGGTTAGAGCATTGCTCGCGAATAGCAAGGTCCCTGGTTCGAGTCCCAGTAGTGTGACTGATCATTTTTCTTTCTTTCGTATCTGGCTTGCAAGTGTTGAGTTTCGGAGAGAAAAGTGCAGTACGTGGCATGTGGCCTCTAATTTCAGAGCTATTCCAGTCTATCAAAGTTCTACCACATGCATGGTGGGACAGAATGTGCAAGGTAGGCACACCCGCAAGTCCTGAAGGGTAGCCGTCCATAGACCATACCGCACCGTAGCTCGAGGGCATGTTTATGGATCCTTTCTTGTCTACGACGCTTCGAAGTGATGACGACACACATATCTGACCAAGCATGCCAACGAGATTTCTGGGTAAAAACAAGCTACTTTAGTGTCCCCGGGCTCTTCACTGTTTTTGCACTAATATGCAGGTTTCCGATGGTGGGGAATCAATGGTTTGCTTGAATAGATAGCTTTTCTATATGTAGATGCCCCTCGCAAATAGTTAGCGGTTTGCTAAGCTGATGGAGCAATATACTATTGCCTCACAACGAACAGTGGAAAACGACTGCTGGAGACAGCTTACAACCAGTGCCTGCACGTCGCTACAGGATGTGTGCCTTCTACACCACTGACCAAGCTCCACGAGGTTGCAGGTGCTCCGTCCCTGCATACAAAGATCACACACCAGGCTGGGAATTTGGCCAATATCGCTCATCGTCACACCACCCAAACCCCTGCTCGCACCTTCTCTCCACTCAGGTTCCTCAACGCATACGCCATGACACGACCACTTGGCAACAGTTAGCCCACGAGACTTTGCCTACTCAGCAATTTCACCCGCTTCCTTCGCGACCACCGCCATGGGCGAAGGTGGAGAACTTGACGATCCACATCACTGACTGCAGCAGAGATGATCCCTCGCATGTCCGTTTGTCTGTAGCCCTGGAGTGCCTGGACAAGGTTTCCTCTCTTTGCGCTCAATCTCAGTCATATGAAGTCTGAACAGATGGTAGTGTCGCTGATGAGGGTGCAGGAGGAAGTGGCTATCTTGTCATCAAAGTCACTGATGGCCAACGCTCTGAAGTGTGCGGTGGAAGCGATCCTGCAGGCGTGGTAGCAACTTCCTTCACCGCCGACGTAACTGCAGCAGTGGCCGGTCTCTGCGGCAGTAGATCTACTTACGGCTGGCCTCACCAACACAGATGATCAACCCTCGCTGCCAGACCTCATCCTCGTTACGGACAGTCGTTCGTTGACTGATTCTGTTGCCGGGGATCCGTACGGTATGAGCTCAGATACGATTCCGGTGTTTGAGGCTATCAAGAGCATTAGCCAGCTTGTTACCAGCATCCACCTTGTCTGGGTTAGCAGTCACTGTGGCTTATTCCTCAATGACAAAGTAGATCGCCTGGCTGCGGCTGGTACCCAGGTTCCCGAGGGTCACGTCCGTCTTCCAGTGCAAGCCACCAAGACTGCAGTCCGCAAGGCAACACGGTACCCGCCACCACTGCTCGACACGAAGAAGTTCGGTGACCGTCGGAC